TGTTAATGTTATATTACAGAAACAAAAACGCACTCTATATAACGCTCCAATACCTTCCACTTTGACGATTTCAGTGAACGCGTGCCGCATGCCTCGATACATGTTGTTTTGTCTTTTTAGTTGTAAACGACTCTTTACAACTGACCTAAAACGATATAATAAAGAAGCGCATCAGAAATACAAACAGAAGCAGACTCGTGAGCGTGATTACTTTTGGAAACAACCAAGAATAAAGCGAGCGAAGCGAAGAAAAAGCCAGGTCAGCAAAAACAGATTCACTTTGCTCATGATACTCACCATCGAACATCATGACGCACAGGGTGTCAAGGTAAACGACCCCAGATGGAACCACTACTCCCCGAAAAGTGACGCACAGGGTGTCAAGGTAAACGACCCCAGATGGAACCAGTACTCCCCGAAAAGGTCATTTATTACGTAGAGCTCAGTATGGTCTACTGTATTGGTTTCAGACCCAATCAGCATCAATTCGAGGGTTAAATCATTCACGCGGGTTCCAGAAGACTATCGCTTTACACTGCAAGACGCCACAGGTCCGAATAACACCACTAGGGCCCACCGTTTTTGATAATTCAGCCCTTACAGTCAAGTTCAACGTCAAGGACACTGAAATCACATGCACTTCGTTTTGAAGGATTCTGAAGATCCATTGAACCGAGACTAGTTCCCGAAATTAGCTTCCACATGATTCACTCAGTCCGTCAGTGTAGAATAACTTGCAAAGAAGGGAACGCTTAATGAACGAAATGCGTTTTTTTTGGGAGAAGCTCTGTACAGTAGCTTCCACACGTTGTACACGTTCTGCACCGCCTAACCAACATGGTGTGTCATACCTTTTCTCTAAGAACTGTTTACAGTCTACATGGCATCTATTTTATGTTCTAAAGTTATCACAGTCACGGTCACACGTTTTTGGACCCGTAATGCACGAAGAACGAAGAACTCTTATCACAGGTCATCGTTTTGGAAAGTGATGAACTGATGCTGAAATCATCGCTGTATGGCAGTTGCAAGTGTAAAATTTATTTTGCAGTGACTTCAATTATATTAGAAACCCAGAGGTTAAACAAAACCGTAGAGATGACATGAGGCAAATTTAATAACTCATCCGATATGAAGTTTCAACTCATAAAAAACCTACATGGGATAGAGAAAACATCGTATCGACCACGAGCTGGCAAGAGCAAGCGGGTAAAAACGCCAGAGATTAAGATGCTCCCATTGGATGACGAGAAGCTGATCCTAAATATACTTAGCTGTGTGACACGTAAAAATGCATCCAATCACGGTAATTATTGAAATTTCATAAGCCTAGCAAATAATAATCTTACTTTAGACGTCAAGTCGAACACTTCGGACTCCTCCGATGACATGCCACAGTTCTCCTACCGTATACCATACAAGTGAAGTGAAATATTATGTAGAGGGTGAAAAGCCAAATTCGGCTGCTGTAGCATTGGCAGCAATGTAGCGCTGCTGGGGCTGCTACACAGATGAATGGAACAAGCTACACACAGATTCTGAAACATTTCAATGCACACATCATTAGAAAAGACGTGCGAACACGACGGAGGAGATCGCGCACGCGATTGCGAAGCGATTAGGTTGTCTTCAACGGCGCCTTGTCAACTACCACTGAGGACTCCTTGAGCCGGGGCTAATCCGCTAATGCTCATTTCCCTTGACACCCCAGGGAAA